AGGAAAGAAGAAAGAGTCGCCTTCCAATTCTTGTAAGTCCAGTACAAATGATGACTCTGGTAAGGAATGGGGGGTTGACAGAAAACTAAACTTCGGGGCCTGGACAAACAAGCTCAAACCCAAGTGGTTGGTCCAGTTGGGGGACTAAGTTTAAAACCCAATTGGAATTGTGTAGAAACTAGAAATTGACGATTCTCTTAGTATAGAAACTAGAATTGTAACCAGTTCTAATGACGCTAATTTGTTATTTTTCGGATTTATACCCAAAGAGAACAACACTTCTGAAATTACTGTATAACACCAGTTTTCCAGACAGATTTTAATGCACTAGTTTTCTGGACAGATTTGAATGCGCTATGATATTCACAAACATTGGTGGCCAAGTACTCCTACCTAACCCACGTTTCACTCACAAGGTCCACCATTATTTTAAAGTTGATTTCAAAAGTTGAGTTGTAAATGTTTCCCAAAATATTACAAATCGAATAATCAAAAGTTGATTTTAAAATAATTCCAAATGACAACAAAAATTCAAATAGTCATACTTTTCCCGTTAATAGAAATAGTAGGTCATAACAACGAATGATGCATAGCTAAGTGAAACACAACATTGCCTACATAAGCTTCATTTTTTCAAACATTGAGTAGTCAAATCGTGGAGAGAGTTGTCAGTATATGCAGATGGATTGTGAAGTCATGTGACCTGGTGCACAGGCTTTGGTTTTCTCGATATTTTGCTCGATTATTTGATACACAATGACAACTCATCTCTTATTGATATATGTGGGATTCTCAATTCAGAAAGTCACATGGCAACAGTGAATTCACTGCTTTACCTTACAGTGAGCATGCCCTTATTTTGTGGGTATATGCAGATGGATTGTCAAGTCATGTAACTTGGTGCACAGACTTTGGTTTTCTCAATTTTTTGCTCGACTTTTTTATTACAATGACAACTCATTTCTTATTAATTTATGTACGATTCTCAATTCAGAAAGTCACATGGCAACAGTGAATTCACTGATTTACCTTACAGTGAGCATGCCCTTATTTTGTGGGTATATGCAGATTGTCAAGTCATGTGACTTGGTGCACAGACTTTGGTTTTCTCAATTTTCTACTCGACTTTTTTATTACAATGACAACTCATTTCTTATTAATATATGTGCGATTCTCAATTCAGAAAGTCACATGGCAACAGTGAATTCACTAATTTACCTTACAGTGAGCATGCCCTTATTTTGTCAGTATATGCAGATGGATTGTGAAGTCATGTGACCTGGTGCACAGGCTTTGGTTTTCTCGATATTTTGCTCGATTATTTGATACACAATGACAACTCATCTCTTATTGATATATGTGGGATTCTCAATTCAAAAAGTCACATGGCAACAGTGAATTCACTAATTTACCTTACAGTGAGCATGCCCTTATTTTGTCAGTATATGCAGATGGATTGTGAAGTCATGTGACCTGGTGCACAGGCTTTGGTTTTCTCGATATTTTGCTCGATTATTTGATACACAATGACAACTCATCTCTTATTGATATATGTGGGATTCTCAATTCAAAAAGTCACATGGCAACAGTGAATTCACTAATTTACCTTACAGTGAGCATGCCCTTATTTTGTCAGTATATGCAGATGGATTGTGAAGTCATGTGACCTGGTGCACAGGCTTTGGTTTTCTCGATATTTTGCTCGATTATTTGATACACAATGACAACTCATCTCTTATTGATATATGTGGGATTCTCAATTCAGAAAGTCACATGGCAACAGTGAATTCACTAATTTACCTTACAGTGAGCATGCCCTTATTTTGTCAGTATATGCAGATGGATTGTGAAGTCATGTGACCTGGTGCACAGGCTTTGGTTTTCTCGATATTTTGCTCGATTATTTGATACACAATGACAACTCATCTCTTATTGATATATGTGGGATTCTCAATTCAGAAAGTCACATGGCAACAGTGAATTCACTAATTTACCTTACAGTGAGCATGCCCTTATTTTGTCAGTATATGCAGATGGATTGTGAAGTCATGTGACCTGGTGCACAGGCTTTGGTTTTCTCGATATTTTGCTCGATTATTTGATACACAATGACAACTCATCTCTTATTGATATATGTGGGATTCTCAATTCAGAAAGTCACATGGCAACAGTGAATTCACTGTTTTACCTTACAGTGAGCATGCCCGCCTTCCAATTCCTGGAAGTCCAGTCAAAATGATGACTCTAGTAAGCAATTTAAAACCCAATTGGTTTAACTTGATTTGTTTGTCAAAATAACTTTATAAACTCAAATTTTGTATAAACTCAAATTTTGGGGCTTTTCACCAATAATCTCCAACTCCTTGGGTATCGAGAACTCCAAACACCAGATCGATGACGGTGAAAACGGCTTTAGTAAAGCGAGAAGAAATTTATGAATTACATTATCAGCTTCTAACCCAAAACAAAGACAACAGAAAAAAAAATTATTATTTAAATGAAAACGGCTTTAGTAAAGCCAAAACCAATTACTGAATAACACATTCTAACCCAAAACAAAGAGAAGAGAAAAAAATAAAAAATATCAAAGTTTACATAAAAACGGCTTTAGTTTAGTTCAAAGAAATTTATGAATTACATTATCAGCTTCTAACCCAAAACAAAGACAACAGAAAAAAAAATATTATTTACATGAAAACGTCTTTAGTAAAGCCAAAACAAAATTCTGAATAACACATTCTAACCCAAAACAAAGACAAGAGAAAAAAATAAAAAATAAAAAACTTTACATGAAAATGACTTTAGTAAAGTGAAAAAAAAAATTTGAATTACATTATCACTTTCTAACCCAAAATAAAGACAAAATAAAAAATATATATATTTAAATGAAAACAGATTTATTAAAGCCCAAACAAATTACTGAATAACACCTTCTAACGCAAAACAAAGAAATAATAATTAAAAAAAAATTGATATCAAAACGGCTTTACTAAAGCTCAAAAAAATTTTCAATTATATTATTACCTTCTAACCCAAAACAAACACAAGGAAAAACAAAAGAAATTTACTTTAGTCAAACAAAATAAAAAAATGCTGAATTACACATTCTAACCCAAAATAAAGACAAAAGGAAAGAAAAAAAAAATTAATATGAGAACGGTTTTAGTAAAAGAATTTTAACCAAAAAAATTATTCTGAAATATATTATCACCAAAACAATGACAACATAAACAAAAGAACGAAATTTTTTTCTTTAAAGTTTAGTAAAATTGAAATTAACAAAAAAAAATTACGCTAAAAGCACGGTTCATAAAAAAATTTGGCAAAAAACCGTAGTTCTAAAGAGTGAGGTTAAATTTTTTTTTCATAAAACGTGGGTTTTGATGAACTCGTTGTTACAAAGAGCGAGTTCATTAGAATTTTTTTTTTGATAAACTCGTGCTTACAAACAGCGAGTTCAGCACATAAACTCGTGTTTTGAAAAAGCGAGTTCAGCATGAAATCGTGCTTGTAAAAAGCGAGTTCAAAGGAAACAAATTTAATCAAACTCGCGTTTCCTAACAGCGAGTTCTTAATTAAACTCGCTTTTTCTAACAGCGAGTTTCAATTTTTACAGGTCTCAGGTGACAGGAGTGGAAAAGTATTGAACTCGCGAATGTGAACCGCGAGTTAGCTCATTTTGAAAAATCTTTCAAAACTATGCTTAGTTTAGAAATTCCCTTATTATTTTGACTTATTTAAGGAAATGCCTCTGCACAAAGAAATTATGTTGCAGTATCGTTTGCTGAACCACTGTCCAACAAAAGGCCTTTATTTATTGATGAACTTGCAATTAGCACCTGAGACTTGAGAGCTGAGATAGTTATATGGGAAGAGTCCAAAGACAATTTAGACTATTAGAGAGAGAGAGAGAGAGAGAGAGAGATTTGAGAGAGTCTTGGGTTTCAAAATACAAACTAGACCCAGGCTCTACCTGAGTCAGGGCCGGCCCTAGCCATAAGTCACAAGGACTTGGCTTAGGACTCTTTAAAATAGATTCAAAAAAATGATCTCTTCTTATTATAATTTAGTATAATATATTAGGTATGTTTTAAGTCTAAAAAAATTAAAAAAACTCAAACTAACTTAAAATAAATTGACTCATTAAAAAATTAACAGGCCATTCAAAAAAATTAACATTGTTATCCATTGAAAAATAAACCAAAAAAAAAAGTCTCTCTTATTATTAGGATTGTGCAAAATACCGCCAAATCTACTAAAACCGCACCGATCCGCATCTATCCGCACCGCTCTAACTGCTAACCGCGGTTTAAACTTTAAAATATATAATCCGCTAACCGAACCGCTCCGCTCCACTATGGTTAATACATATATATTTTTTAACCTCTAATGAAATATCAATGTAAAAATGAGTGTGAGAAAGATTCAAGATATGAAATTTATTACAAATTAGTGGTTATATATATAAAACATATTATGTAAAATTACTGTGTTATATATCTAAAAAATATTATACAAATTAGTGTTATATATTATGCAAATGTATGATAATTAGTTAGAATATTCTTCAATCCGTCAATCCGCCAAAAACCGCTCAAACTGCAATTTTTCAATCCGCTAATCCGCCATTCGGTTTGTAAATTTACTCTCAAACCGCCCGAATCGCACCGCGCACACCCCTACTTATTATAGTTTAGTCTAATATATTAAGTATATTTTAAGTCCAAAAAAAATTAAGGAATGCCCAAATTAACTAAAAATAAATTAATCTATTAAAAAATTAAAAGATCCATTTAAAATAATTAGCATTGTTATTCATTAAAAACGATTTTGCAAAAAAATTAAATTGTGCAAGTATGAATGATTTATTTGCTTCTAAAAATACAAAAGAGTGAAAATCAAGCGATACTTATTAGTCATTGTAATGTAATGCTAAGTATTTTTTGTGATTTTGACACAAATCATTTTGTCCTTTACTTTTAAAAAAAAAATTCATTCAATAAAAAAAATGTAAAGAGCCCCAAAAATTTATTAATTGATTATCAGCTTTGGACTCCGAAAATCTCAAGGCCGGGCTTGACCCAAGTACGACCTAGGCTGGCCCAACATCAGGCCCAGTCCGCTGGCTGGCTGGCTGAGCTATCCTGGCATTGTGCTAGGCCATGGGCTATTTTATTTTTACACCCCTACTAGAAATCATGCACAACTTTTTGCTAACCGAGCCCTGCTAGAGACCGCCCAAGCTTTGCTATCCAATAAACCCACAATTCCTCTTGCTATCCATCTAATAAGAACATGCTTGTATATAACTCACTAAATATTAACCTGCATAAATTTTACATAAAAAATCTTTAATAAGTTTTCACATGGTTTGAAACAAAGTTCATTTCATAATTAAAATGTAAACCAATACAAAATGTTTTATTTCCTGAATCACAAGGAAATAGATTGTAACATTTTGTTCCAATCTAACAAAGTTCATCGATGACAATTTTACAATAAATAAATTTGTTAAAATTTGTAGAACATACCTGTTTCAGTCGCCTTTGGCGTCCGTAGTCCTAGTATACGACCCACCCTCTACAACTATTCTCTGAGCAGAAATTTCTCTGTTTATACAACAAAGCTTCATAACGATACATGAGCACTCTCTGTGTATGCCCCAGCAATTTTGATTCTTTCAATTACCAAGTACTATTATTGTATATCATGTAGCAAGTCAGAAAGCGTTTCCCTTTGCTTTTTCAAATACAGGGACAACATCAACTTCTAATTCTAGTAGTGAAAAGGTCAACGTGACTGACTGATATCAGTGGAAAAAAAGTAGTGTTTATTTCCTCCTCTATTCACCTTTGGAAATGACAACAAAAACGTCATCAAGGGACCATTTCGTTGGTTTTGTTTTTTGCTCAGGATTAATTATGGCACGCTCAGCATTTGCAAGTCGATAACCAATCACAATTTCCTGTCTCTGACGACCCCTAATCATTATATCGTAAAAGCAGAGTTCTTCCTGGTCGTATAAATAAAATTCTGCCGGTTTGATGCACATTTCATTTCCCTGTGAAAAGTTACAAGTCAAATATGAATCTATGAGCATTTCACCATGTTTTTAGTAGATGCCTAAGTTAAAAGATTGAAATGTTGAATACAAGCAATCCAAAAGTGTACCAAAAATATCTTTTTTTATTGGCATGCAAGTCATAAGTCCTATACTCAAAAAGCACTCCTAGCTACTAACACAGAAAATAACCTATCAAGTAGATCTAAATAAGTTCAAAGTTAGACTAAGGAATAACACAAAGGGGCCAACAATTAAAGATATATAACACCACCCATCAAATCAACACTCTGATTTATCTCCAAAACCAGCTCATGGTTTTGAAATCAGCCCATGCTTTTGGAATACAAACAGCACACACATTTCTAGCACAAACGAGCTAAGGGTGATGCCACCATATCACCCTATAGCATCAGCAACACCTCCAGTGAAGAAGACACCAGCCAGGCACACATGCTCAAAAACCCCTCTCCTCTGTAACCAAAGCACACAAGATACATCCACCCTAGCTCTGGCAGTTAAAAGTTTTCGCTAGTCCGTCACATCCCAGCCCCCAAACCAGACCATGAATCACCTACTACTGTCTCCAACCATTGTCACTCAGGTAGAGGAAATCTCAATATAGCTCGAGTTACAGCAAATCTCCAAACACCTAACACCACCAGAAGGGTTTAGTAGCCCAGCAATCGAATTTGTGAAACTGCAACCAGCACTTCCACCCACACTCCATCTCATCCAAGCACTACACTGAACTATGATGGTGCCACGCATGGCACACTATTATAAATAGCCACCACACCATAGATCAGGACAGAAAATGAAGGTAAAGGTAGAAATCACTGATTGTCAACTCAGCAAAAATGCCCAGCAACTATATACTCTACCTCCGGCCATGAAGAGATCTAAAAAGAGAAGGGATGACAAGAAACAAAACACCCTAAAAAATATATTCAATGACGCACAAGGGAAGAGCAGTGGGTTCTCTAAGGGAGAGGATTGGCTTGAAAACATTCCTCTTCTCCCATGGCAAGAAACCTTGTGAGAAACTCTAGAGAGAAAAGCTCTTAACTAGAGAGAGAAAAAAGTGTTTTATTAGCCCAATACTGGTACGACCATAAAGATGATTATTTTGGTTCAGCAAAATTATTGGAAGTTCTTCGCATTAACTTTGACGATCACATGTTTACCCCTACATGTACACAAGAGAGTGAAAGAGGGAGGGGGCACGTCTATACATGTGTTTTTTCCTTGCAGGGGCGGTCCATAGTGGTGAACCCACTAAGAGGCCAGGACGGACACGTGCCCCTCCTTTCTTCTAGAAACCTACTTGTTAGTTCAAAGTTTTGAAAATGTTTTCAACTTTTTCCGTTTTAAAATTATATACATATATATATATATATGCCCCTACATTTTTTTTCCCATTCTTCTTCCAACAAAACTCAACACACCATTAACTTGAACATGGATACAGATTTACTCATTACATAATTCACAAATAAATCTAATTTATGTATTTCAGAGATATTTCTTATTTTTATTTTCATTTCATGTTAAATGGTTTTATTGTAGTGACAAATATGATATTGGAATAGTTTTGAAATATTGATAACTAATTTTTTTTTATCAAACTGAACTGTGTTCCAAACTGACTTAACTCAATAATTTATCTTAATATTTGTCCCCTTTTGACTAAAATCGTAGCTCAGCCACTGCCAGTCCCTAACCTAGGGCAAAGGAGGCCAGGGTCTCCCTAGATTTGTGGAATTCTGTTTGACTGGCTTCTTTCAAGATGAAAATTTTGTGGAATTAAAACAAATGGCCACCATAGAATTTTTGCATTATTATGTAGAAGTCCAGCCCCACATCACTTTCCACTAATTTGGATGCCAAAACTTTACTTAAGCCTTGAAAGTTGAACCCAAGGCTATGCTAAAATGATACCAGGATTTTTTAAACTTGACTGTCTTATTTATTATTTGTCATGCATAATCAAATACCAAACCAACCAACAGGGTACTTTCTACAATTCAAACCTATAGCAGGAAAACAAAGGGTCATTTAGTGATTAGATTTGAGGTAATCAAACCAAGACTCCTAACCACAACAGCACCTATATGGCTTATCCTACTTGTAAAAATTGATGTATTATTAATTGATATATTGATATTTTTATTACAATGATTCATGATTCCTATATATAGAAGAGGGTGAGTGTGTAGTAGGTAAGGAGTAGGTGAAGTGGAGGTGGTAGTGGTGTAGTGGGTTAGGTTTAGTGGAGTAGGTGAGATGGTAGTGGTGTAGTGGGTTAGGTTTAGTGGAGTAGGTGAGATGGTAGTGGTGTAGTGGGTTAGGTTTAGTGGAGTAGGTGAGATGGTAGTGGTGTAGTGGGTTAGGTTTAGTGGAGTAGGTGAGATGGTAGTGGTGTAGTGGGTTAGGTTTAGTGGAGTAGGTGAGATGGTAGTGGTGTAGTGGGTTAGGTTTAGTGGAGTAGGTGAGATGGTAGTGGTGTAGTGGGTTAGGTTTAGTGGAGTAGGTGAGATGGTAGTGGTGTAGTGGGTTAGGTTTAGTGGAGTAGGTGAGATGGTAGTGGTGTAGTGGGTTAGGTTTAGTGGAGTAGGTGAGATGGTAGTGGTGTAGTGGGTTAGGTTTAGTGGAGTAGGTGAGATGGTAGTGGTGTAGTGGGTTAGGTTTAGTGGAGTAGGTGAGATGGTAGTGGTGTAGTGGGTTAGGTTTAGTGGAGTAGGTGAGATGGTAGTGGTGTAGTGGGTTAGGTTTAGTGGAGTAGGTGAGATGGTAGTGGTGTAGTGGGTTAGGTTTAGTGGAGTAGGTGAGATGGTAGTGGTGTAGTGGGTTAGGTTTAGTGGAGTAGGTGAGATGGTAGTGGTGTAGTGGGTTAGGTTTAGTGGAGTAGGTGAGATGGTAGTGGTGTAGTGGGTTAGGTTTAGTGGAGTAGGTGAGATGGTAGTGGTGTAGTGGGTTAGGTTTAGTGGAGTAGGTGAGATGGTAGTGGTGTAGTGGGTTAGGTTTAGTGGAGTAGGTGAGATGGTAGTGGTGTAGTGGGTTAGGTTTAGTGGAGTAGGTGAGATGGTAGTGGTGTAGTGGGTTAGGTTTAGTGGAGTAGGTGAGATGGTAGTGGTGTAGTGGGTTAGGTTTAGTGGAGTAGGTGAGATGGTAGTGGTGTAGTGGGTTAGGTTTAGTGGAGTAGGTGAGATGGTAGTGGTGTAGTGGGTTAGGTTTAGTGGAGTAGGTGAGATGGTAGTGGTGTAGTGGGTTAGGTTTAGTGGAGTAGGTGAGATGGTAGTGGTGTAGTGGGTTAGGTTTAGTGGAGTAGGTGAGATGGTAGTGGTGTAGTGGGTTAGGTTTAGTGGAGTAGGTGAGATGGTAGTGGTGTAGTGGGTTAGGTTTAGTGGAGTAGGTGAGATGGTAGTGGTGTAGTGGGTTAGGTTTAGTGGAGTAGGTGAGATGGTAGTGGTGTAGTGGGTTAGGTTTAGTGGAGTAGGTGAGATGGTAGTGGTGTAGTGGGTTAGGTTTAGTGGAGTAGGTGAGATGGTAGTGGTGTAGTGGGTTAGGTTTAGTGGAGTAGGTGAGATGGTAGTGGTGTAGTGGGTTAGGTTTAGTGGAGTAGGTGAGATGGTAGTGGTGTAGTGGGTTAGGTTTAGTGGAGTAGGTGAGATGGTAGTGGTGTAGTGGGTTAGGTTTAGTGGAGTAGGTGAGATGGTAGTGGTGTAGTGGGTTAGGTTTAGTGGAGTAGGTGAGATGGTAGTGGTGTAGTGGGTTAGGTTTAGTGGAGTAGGTGAGATGGTAGTGGTGTAGTGGGTTAGGTTTAGTGGAGTAGGTGAGATGGTAGTGGTGTAGTGGGTTAGGTTTAGTGGAGTAGGTGAGATGGTAGTGGTGTAGTGGGTTAGGTTTAGTGGAGTAGGTGAGATGGTAGTGGTGTAGTGGGTTAGGTTTAGTGGAGTAGGTGAGATGGTAGTGGTGTAGTGGGTTAGGTTTAGTGGAGTAGGTGAGATGGTAGTGGTGTAGTGGGTTAGGTTTAGTGGAGTAGGTGAGATGGTAGTGGTGTAGTGGGTTAGGTTTAGTGGAGTAGGTGAGATGGTAGTGGTGTAGTGGGTTAGGTTTAGTGGAGTAGGTGAGATGGTAGTGGTGTAGTGGGTTAGGTTTAGTGGAGTAGGTGAGATGGTAGTGGTGTAGTGGGTTAGGTTTAGTGGAGTAGGTGAGATGGTAGTGGTGTAGTGGGTTAGGTTTAGTGGAGTAGGTGAGATGGTAGTGGTGTAGTGGGTTAGGTTTAGTGGAGTAGGTGAGATGGTAGTGGTGTAGTGGGTTAGGTTTAGTGGAGTAGGTGAGATGGTAGTGGTGTAGTGGGTTAGGTTTAGTGGAGTAGGTGAGATGGTAGTGGTGTAGTGGGTTAGGTTTAGTGGAGTAGGTGAGATGGTAGTGGTGTAGTGGGTTAGGTTTAGTGGAGTAGGTGAGATGGTAGTGGTGTAGTGGGTTAGGTTTAGTGGAGTAGGTGAGATGGTAGTGGTGTAGTGGGTTAGGTTTAGTGGAGTAGGTGAGATGGTAGTGGTGTAGTGGGTTAGGTTTAGTGGAGTAGGTGAGATGGTAGTGGTGTAGTGGGTTAGGTTTAGTGGAGTAGGTGAGATGGTAGTGGTGTAGTGGGTTAGGTTTAGTGGAGTAGGTGAGATGGTAGTGGTGTAGTGGGTTAGGTTTAGTGGAGTAGGTGAGATGGTAGTGGTGTAGTGGGTTAGGTTTAGTGGAGTAGGTGAGATGGTAGTGGTGTAGTGGGTTAGGTTTAGTGGAGTAGGTGAGATGGTAGTGGTGTAGTGGGTTAGGTTTAGTGGAGTAGGTGAGATGGTAGTGGTGTAGTGGGTTAGGTTTAGTGGAGTAGGTGAGATGGTAGTGGTGTAGTGGGTTAGGTTTAGTGGAGTAGGTGAGATGGTAGTGGTGTTGAATCATTGTAATAGAAATCAATATAAATCAATCAATAATACATACAATTTATTCTCTCTCTATTTCTCTTTATACATTAAATTTTACACATGGGTGAGTGAGAGAGCCCGAGGCAGCCCATGTCCAGATCCTACACAGTGCTGAGGAACTCAAGATTGTGCAGAGACGCGTTGATTTCGCAAGCATTAAGGCTTGTAATGAGGCGAACTTTCCGAGTCGATCGCCGGCAAGAAGTCGTCAGATTCCAGCGACTCCTCCAACGCCAGTTTTAACCAGAGAGAGCTTCTTGAATCCATCGTCGCACGCTTACCGTCCGAGAAAGCGGCGTTTCCTATCAACTTCCTCTGCTGCCTCCTCCGCACCGCCATCTTCCTCGAAGCTAAAAACAGCTGCAAGAGAGAGATCGAGAAGAGAATCGCGGCGATGCAGAGGGTTGGGAAGACGGTTGATGCTCTCGGAACAGCCATTGTGGAGAGCTTCGCTGCTGTAGACGGCGGTGGTGTCAGGAGAGTGACCCGGAGGAGGTCGTTTGGGTCGATGAGGGTTTCTGTGGAAGAGGGGAGTGATTCTATTCTCAATTCATTCATGCCCAAGTACAAGAACTTGACAGCGGTGGTCGGAATATTCGCCGGCGATGAGAACGGAGCGGGATGGGTTTTATGTCTAGTGTTTGTGTTTGTGCTTAGACAGTCGCTGGGGAGGAAGCACATGCAGAGTGATCAAGGTGAGGAAACAAAGAAAGAAGAGTTTCTGGTATGTGTTTGTGGTATGTGTTGAAAAAACTCCAGCGGGCAGCTAAGGCAAGGTTGCCGGCCGGCTGCCCGCCGGAAAGAAAGGAGTATAGGCTAAATCTTAAAGCTCTGATACCATGTAAAAATTGATGTATTATTAATTGATATATTGATATTTTTATTACAATGATTCATGATTCCTATATATAGAAGAGGGTGAGTGTGTAGTAGGTAAGGAGTAGGTGAAGTGGAGGTGGTAGTGGTGTAGTGGGTTAGGTTTAGTGGAGTAGGTGAGGTGGTAGTGGTGTAGTGGGTTAGGTTTAGTGGATGAAGTAGGTGATAGGTTTTAACACTACTACTACTTTTACTTTTCTTTTTCTTTTTGCCAACAATCTGGGACAAACTATTGTTGACTCGCTATAGATTCATAGAAAATATGGCACTGAGCAAGGCAAATTAACAAGAATATATATGTGCTTTGTTTGACATTGTTATGTATGCTCTTTATCTTTGAATTGAAGCTTTTATTTTCTTTTTCTAAAGTTGATATTTTCCATTATGTTATAATGTTAAATTAATTTTGTCAATCTAAACTGAACATTAATTTAGAGTTCGTAGTATAGTTAGTTAACATAATGCAAAACACATTTTTGGTTGTAAAAATTAATCTTGATAAACTTATATCCCCACATCCTTTCCTTGAATAAATTTATGGGACTCTTGGCAGGTTGCGTCTAATGTGCAATTGACAACAGATTTATAACTTTATGTTGCTTTTAAAATAATATTTTCACATTGAGATCTGTTCTCGGTGATCCCATCATGACGACTGCTGGACCACAAAAGAAATCGTTCATTTGATAATCTGATGTACAAGCAAACTTAGGGCCAGTTTGATTGTGTTTTCGTTTTCTATTTTATGTTTTCATTTTTGAGAAACATAGAAAAACTTGTTTGGCCAACTAAAAATACGCCCATTTTAGTCCCCAATCCCCATTGTTCTGGCCAACTGTTTTTGGGAAGAAAAAAAAAATGAAAACAGCCCACCTTTTGGTTGAGCAAGGAGGGAGAAATGGGACCAGTGTGGTTTTCTCTAACCATTATACTCTTGCTTATTATCTTAAGAGCATTGTTTGAAGGGAAATATGTAAAGGGGTCCTCCCATTTTCAGTTTTACCCATAAAGGAAATGTGGGTCCAAAGGAAACTATCCCCATGCTGGACCTGTTTCATGCAGTTTCTTGCAAACTAGAAAAAGCAAAAGCTAAAAAAACTTTTTTTTTTTTTTTTCAGTTTATTTGAGTCATTTTTGCATCATAAGAAGTTGCACCAGTCTGGGTTCTCCTTTCCCTTTCATCCATTTCATTCCTAGCAAACAACTAGAGCTTTATCCATCACACCCCTCACCTCTCCTACCATTTTTCCATCCTATCGAAGCCTTGTATATTGCTAAATGGCAAGAGATTTCATATATAATTCAATTTCTGAATGACATTTTTTTAACCATCACAATCAATTGTAACAATTCTGTCCTGAGCATAGTTGTCAAATCATGAATCAAAATGGCCTTGTACCAAATTGTGAATCGTAAAGATTCAATCTCTTCTAATTAGTTAGAAAAACATATCTACACATTTGGATATTAAATATATCTTATAAATATAAAATATTTAGACTTAAATTAATGAAAATATTATTTTAAATAATGTTCACGTGATCTAATAGGAAAGAAGTAAATTCCCATTTAAGATCACTATCTTACCTTTTCTCTTTTTAGATATTGCTTATCAACCATACTTAAAAAAGAAAGTAAACAAAGACAAACTCTCAATTAACCATAATTTAACAATGATGTTGATATTTCATAAGCATACATACCTTTACAAGTAACAATGACCTAATAATAAAGAACTTTGAGAACCATTAGGTTTAACTGACCTCACCCTTGTAATATTGAAGTATATTTATTTCAATAAAATAAAAATAGATAAATTCATATTGCAAGTTACTTTAACCTTAAACATTTTTAGAATATACATTATGATTCTTTTTTCACAGGAAAAAAAAGAAAAATGAGAAGAAAAGATTAAAAAGATGTTGGGTTTGATTGAATCTCATTAAAAACTCATTGATCTTCAAAATAACAACAAATCATGTTTATATTGGTTATTTTCGTACTAAACACTATAAGAAGTTGTATTATATCATTTTAACAAAAAAATAGAGAAAAAAAAGAATCAAATATGTTATACATAATAGTTTCAAGAATTGCATAAATCGTAAAAGGGTCCACATTGTCTCTAGTTAGAGATCAAGACTGGACCGTCTAGTCAGCTCCTTGGGCCCACTTTTGGGCCCCGCTTCGATGATCCAAAACGTTCACATTTTAGGGTTCATCGAGTACATTATCCCTGTAAAAACTCAATGAATCCTAAAATGTGAATGGTTCGGATAATAGAAACGGGGCCCAAAAGTGGGCCCATGGAGCTGGCTGGACGGTCCAATCTTGATCTCAAACTGCAGACAAGCTGCACCCATCGTAAAAAGTGAATTTATTATGAATCATGCGATTCACTAGATATTCACTTCCAAAATAGATTCACCCATAAATTTGAATCAATTTTGTAAAAATTGCTAATTGAATCATGAATCGAATCGCGAATCTTAAGATTCTGATAACAGAGGTCCTAAGGTACAAGAATGTCATCCTTGTCGTAGTTTGTCTTTGTCATGTCTAGTCACATTAAATACGACTTAGCTGAACTATCAACCCAATAATATTTGATGTCCTATTCACACCTTGGTTCAATAGTTTTGACAAACAGAAAAACAAGGGAAAGGGAAAGAGGATGAGGAAAAGCTTGAACAGAAAACATGTAATTTTCTAGTATGAATTATATAGACATTCTTAGAACAATCTTAAGGTTAAAAGTGCGGTATGGAAGGTACCTCTTCTGCAAAAAGTTCCTCAAGTACACGATTTATTTGTTTGTCTTCGGCTACCATAGCTAGCGCCATACTGACCAGCTCATTTGATAGCACATAATCACTAATTCTGGAGACTGAGACCAGGTTTCTAGTCCTAGAATCCAGGATCTCACTTATAATTATTGATTTGTCTGAAGCTTGCTGCATTTCACGGATCCAAGAGGTATGAGAGAACGCAGACAGCCGTAGAGAGCTAGTTTTTGTATCTTTGTAAGGGAGACGCTTTGACTGCAATCGGCATGATAGAGGCAACTTTAATCATCACCAAAACGAATTCAATATGTACAGGCCCAGAAGAAAGAAAATTTAAAACATATAATCAACACAATAATTTCATAGAAATATACCATCTTCGACTGCAATCTATCTTTGAAAAATAATCAAACTAAAATATTTAACAGTTTAATCATCGATAATGTATTCTCTATAATCATAACACAGAAAATAATGTCGGTAAACATTTTTTAAAGTGGATTTCAGTTTTATATGCATGAACAAAGACAAGCAGTAGTAATTACCTGAATATCTCGAATGAGGAGGAGGGTGGCAAGCGAGCGTGAGTCAGAATGTACAACAGAATCTTCTACAGACTCATCTGCAAGAATTAATATCTGTCTTCTTAGAGTTAGTAATTAGTCATAGCAAATGACTACAAATTAACAATATCATATTTTAAGATTCCATGTGGAAACCAAAAAAAAAAAGAAAAGGAATCAACATCACTGAAATCAACCACTTCTTCCACATGACGTGCTACAAGTAGGTTAAAAATGTTGGCAAGTTAAAAAGGTAAGTTGGTGGTAGCAAAAATTTTGGTCAAGACCATTAGGTTATGTTTGGATCATGGATTTGGGTAGAGATTTGAAAAGAGAAACGGAAAAGGTGAGTGAAATGTAGCTATATGTCATTTACATTCACCCACCATATCCCTTTCCCTTTCCAAATCCATGATCCAAACGCAGCCTTGAAGAAACATCAACAGGCTTATATGGTTTCTTCAAAGATTGATTCCTTTGTAATTATTCCTTCAAAGAAACATCAACGGGTTTCCCATAACATAAGCTTGGGGCTCTATGGTTTCTTCAAAGATTGATTCCTTTGTAATTATTCCTTTTCAATTTAATTTTTTTGAGTGAAATGTACCTAGCCTTTTGGAACATTAGCCCAATAAATCTGTCACCAAACCTAGAATAACATTGTTCTTAGTCAACTGTAACCTATGAATAATGATTCAAAATCCACCAAACCTTGTAGCAAAAGTTTAGAATCCTTGAATGATCAAAAACAACCAAACTAAACTGCAGCCCCAAATTTTAACTCCTTCCATCTCCTATTTACAAAGTAGCTTTTTAACCCCATAACATCTAATCCACAAATGCATGTACAAACTCAAGAAGGGAAGGAAGGAAAATAAATCTAGAAACATAATCTTGACCCTTAGACCATCTCCAATCCTTCACATTTTCTTTCATCAAATTTAAATTTAATGAAAAAGTGCTAAAAAAATCATTTTTCATTAAATTTAAAAAGATGAAGCATTAGAGATGATTTTTTTCCCATCAAATTTGATAAAAGGGGAAATTTGAGATAAGAGGGGATTTTTAAAAAGATTTTGATGAAAATTTGATGAAAGGGTTAGAGTAGTTCATATCATATCAATCAAACTTTTTACTCAAATTTGAAATCAAATTAGATGAAAAAAATTGGTGAAGGGTTGGAGATAGTCTTACAGAATCAAATGTTTCCAAGGGAAGACTCTCCAAATGACGTCTGATAACAGCATTCCCTTCACGATGGACAAGTTTAATGTTGCTGAGTCCAGAGATATCTAGTCCACCATCAGTCAATTTCCTTTCTCGTTCTTTTTCTGGAACCTCATTAAACATCCACAATTCTGAACCTGGAGCCAAGAATGCCTCCAGTACCTACAAACAATTAGCAAAATCCACAACAAATCAAAGATGATGAAAGTTTATTTATGTGCATTATTGATTAGTAAAAGACTGATCTGGAAAGTACAACATTAATGGTTATATGTACTCTATATGTAGATAGCTGTCAAATGGAATCACATACATACATACACATATGTGTGTGTGTGACATGATAGTATGGGATAAGATGGTGATATACAGTGAGTATTTTGTGAGGGTGAGTCACTGTGTACTTTATTTTTATTTTACAGAACCATGTAAATTCTTGTGTTCATTTTGCTGTGACCATTTCTGTTTTATTTTTTGCTTTCATTGCTTTGGTAGGTTTATTCCCAACCAGATAAAATATTGATTTTCCCACTACCTTGTTCTTGAGTGATTATTTGGTCGTCTAGGAACATTATCCACACCATTCATTTACCACTTGACATTTGTCAAGTTGTCTCCCAAAATATTAACAAAAAGTACTGGGTCCCACAGTTTTAACCAATAAATATCAAATTGGAACACCATTTGAATTTGCCCCAAGAGCACCTCATAATTTTCCCTTGTTCTCAGCAATTTCCTTAACTTCCATATGACAATTCCTGAGCAATTTGTCTGAAAATGTTCAGCTTCAAGTGTTATGGCCGTTCAAGCACAGAACTTTAAATACTATTCTTCATATACTACGATTGGGTTTTTCTTTTTTTGGTCTCTCAAATCCTTACTCTTTAGGCATTGGATGATTTCTCTCACATATGGCAAAGTATTTTTTAAGCATGATTTTGTTGTTCCTTTTATCCTTATTATACAATTTGATATTAGATATATTTTTACATTGTGTATTACACTATTTCATGTAGTTTTGCCTGGAAGATCTTCTTGTTCTACCAGGAGGCCAGTCACTTGATATGGGTTCTGTAATTTTGGATTTTTACAATGAGATGCATAAATATGCATATATGCTTTATATATAGCTTCATCAACCTCAAAACCCTCTTTTTCTACAATAAATATTGAAGCAAGATAATAAGGTGAGGAGAAAATGTGTCTGTAAGAATAACTTCCAAAGGTCGAAGATTATTTAGATAGCTATACAGATACAAATGAAGAAACGATAAATAACTTGGAGATAAAATATATATATATATATATATCAACTGAAACATGCATTTTTGTAGAGGCCTACTTCACAGACATGCATTTTGCTTTAGTAAAAATGTTTTCAAAGGTTCTCTGGATCCTTGATTTTTGTTTTTAGAATCCAATGTCACAATATTTCACCCAACTCATCTCATCAAAGGCCATTCTAGAATACACACCCTCAAAAGGGCGTAATACCATATGCAAGTTATGACATTTGTGGTTTGATTACCACAAATGTCATAACTAAATCCTTTTCAATCATATACCTATAAAAAAAATAATGAGTTATATCCAAACACCACATAAGATATAATCAAAGACTTTTTGAATCATACCCAGAATAATAATCACAATAGGTCATAACCAACATCACAATGAGTCATAACTAACACCACAATAGATCATAACCTATGAAGCACCGACACGTTCCCAGGTTCTGCGTACGAGCGTCGGACACGGACACGCGTCGGACATGCGGTAGACACTTGTCCGACACTCTCACTAACGTGTCTCCTTTTTTTTTTTGAAATCTTCCAGTTTGGACACGCCATGGACACGGCGGGACACTTTTCGGACACTCGTGAGGTGGATCGAAGGAGCCCTAACTATTTTCCTTGATCGACAGAGAAAGAGAGAAAGGGATCGAGGGAGACAGAAAGAGAGAAAGAGATCGAGGGAGACAGAAAAGAGAGAGAGATTGAGGGAGGAGAGAAGACAGAAAAGGAGAGAAGACAGAGAAGGAGAGAAAGAGATCAAGGGAGAGGAGAAGCTAACCTGTTCAGAAGCTAAGGAGAGGAGAAGCTAACTCGTGAGGTGGATCGAAGAAGCCCTAACTGAGGTATTCTTCTTCTTCTCTTCTTCTCCTTCTTCTCTGTCTCCATCATCTCTGTTCTTCTTCTCCTCTTCATTTTCGTCTTCTCCTCCTCCCTTTCGTCTCTCCCTTTTCTGATCTCTCTCCCTCTGCCTTTTTGACTTCACATTCTCTCTCCTCTATCGTTTCTCTTTTATATTTTTTTTTCTTCTCATTTTCTGGACTCAACATTTCTCTCTCCCCCCTCTTTTTTTTTTCTTTTTTCTTTTTTTTTTTTTTATCCTTATTTTTATGTTAAACTTAAAATTCATAAAAAAAATTATTTTTTTTTTTTATTATTATTTTAATTGTATAAGAATTAATAATTTTATTTTTATTTTAGACATATAATAAATAAATAAAATTATATATATTAAACGTGTCCCCAGCGTGTCGTGTCCCCTATTTTTTGAAAAATTACGTTTTTGCGTGTCCGTGTCGTGTCCCGTGTCTGTGTCCGTGCAACATAGATCATAACCAAAGACCATAAATGTCATGACTAGGGCATATGATACACTCCAAAGTGGGGTGTGTACTATAGAATTTCCCACTCATCAGTTGCAGCATTTCAGAAACATTCTTCTCTTGTTTGAATGGAATTTTTTTTTCCCCCTCAAGAGAAATTTTGAATTTCAGGTGACTCCAAGAGTTCACATGGTGTGAACTATGCCAGGAAGACAAACCAACCATACATGCATACACCATGCTGAGATACACAAGAAGAAAGAACTGCAGGCAGGTCATGGGCCATAGTACTTGACTTGACAGCTTGATTTGCTTGTGTAGAAAATCTACAAAAAATAGATAGGAAATGTCCAAAACACCTCTACAATGCATGCCTGTGCATAGGAAAATCCTATTTGTACACCATGAATTCACTCAATACACACCATCTTCTTAGTTCACAGCACACCACCCCAAATTTGAACTTTTTGAAATAATCCCAAAATAACCTCTTTTGATCAAAATGTCTAACCCTAACCCTAATGTAGCCGCCGTCATTCCCCAACACCGTCGCCCCTCTCCCAGGCCTATAGCGATCCCGGGTCGTTACAAGGCCCGTCGTCCCTCTCAGCCCCATTGTCCACCCTCGAAACCACCCCCATACCCCCTCCTACCCCACCGCACCCCACCAACTCCATCATTCGCTGCCAACAACTCCAACCACAAAGATAGATCGCGACGCGATCGAGAGAGATCACGGGGTAGGAGAGGGATGCGGGATGGGGGAGATTATGTAGGAAATGGAAAGCAAAAAAGTGTGTGAAATATAGGTGAAATATAGTTTCACGCACCTTTTCTGTTTCCTTTTCCCTTTCTAAATCTCTATCCAAATCCATGATCCAAACACAGCCTTAGATTATGTGATTTGTTGACTAGCGAAGGGCAGAGAGAGTCGTTGAAGAAGATGGCGACAATGACAAGGGCCAACACGGATGATAGCATCAGTGGCAGCGACAGTGGGTGGTGGCTAGGGTTATGTTATGGCGAAGGTGGGGTGGCTGGTGGCTGATGTGTACTGAGAAGTTGGATGGCTGGTGATGAAGGGACAAAAATATAGTTTCCTTAAGGGAGAAACGTTGAATAAAAAAAATTTGCGAGATGGTGTGAACTGAGATAAATAGTGGTGTGCAAATAGAATTTTCCCTGTGCATATTATTTCCCATTTCCTAATCCTTCATGCACAAATGTAAGGGCTAATAATCATGGGTTTCATAATCTGATGGTTACAACTCTTTATTGATGGTTTCCACAATTTATAGTTGCTCTTGGAAGTCACTATTTCTTTAACCTTTTTTAGAGCCCTCAGAAGCAACATTCTTAGTTTAGTGAAAAGGAAACACTTATAATCATATTTCCTCATGCACTTTTCTGGGCTATTGAGAAAAAAGATAAAAACTATCTTATGTTTAAAAATCCAGGTTTGTTACAGAAACTGTGACTTGTCAGATGCCTATTGCATATAGATATTCTTGACGTAAAATATATCATTGGGATTCTAGTTTTTGAATAATATGCCAACCAAATTGCTTTTGTCATTATGCTCCTTTTTCTTTTGTTGAATTGAAAAGTAAAATCATTTCTTTAAAAGGTAAGAGGGGGCTACCCATGTGCAAGGAACAAAACAGAATCTTTTGTTGTCATTATGTTCATCATTGTTCACCTCATTTCTCTCCTCTTCTTTTTTAACAGAGATTTTTGGCCGTTGCTCTGAAATAGACACACTAGCGAAGACAGCTGAGGTCTACTCATGTTTTTTATAAACTCTCTGCCAGTTTATACATCAATAAAATAACACTACTTGAGAAACCATGTGAGAGTGGTGCAAGGTGTGGTGTGTGGGGGTCTGAAGGCAAGGAAAAGAACACTACGTATGATGAACCAATTACCATAATCATGTCATCAATGTCCCGTCGCCAGCCGCAGAAAAGTATCTTCTCTGGATATTTTGGAGGGTCCTGTATCTTGGGGAAAAAACCCCTACATACCTGCAACAAGGATGCAATTCAGATGGTACAAGAAACTACAGTTCAGATACAAAGTCTAGTGCACTGCCCTAATTATGTCATTTCAACACAAAGGCTAATATCATTTCTCTCTTCAGATTGAGAGACAAAAGTATCCGTGCTCTAATAAAAAAATTTTTTTTCCATTTTTAAAATTAAAAAAAAAATCCATTTATACACATTGATGCAAACAACTTTTGATGCTCATCGACAATTTTAACTTGGCTAGTTTTCTACTCTACAAGAATACAAAAAAAGCCACTCCTGTTTAAAAACAGCACATAAATGATGCATCACCACAAACCACCAGGATAGCATCGGTGTCTGTAGCTCAATCAATATTTTGCAATACATCACATACTGAGTTTTACCCAAAAATGACTTGTTCTAAAAGAACAAAATAACCTCCTTTTTTTTTTCTTTTTTTTTTCCCCCTTTTCTTTTGTTAAGTATGAATATGTTAAAGAACAAAATCGAGTTTACTTAAATACAGCAATAATGACTCATTCAGAAAGCCTAATATGACCTCATATCAATTAGAACAAATAAACCAAACCAAATCTGAGTCTCGTGTCCAAATCATGTAGAGTCAGCTACACGATTCCTTTTTCGTCATTCCACTTTGTCAAGGGCTATACACTTTGTTAAATTAAATAAATTCATGTATATATATATATATATATTTTACCATCACATCTCCTGCCAGTTCATGTCTTCCCTCCCCCTAACATTTCCATTTATAATGATTATCTTACTCTTCCTTACCATGTATTTACTAGTCTTTGTTGTACATGACCAAACAATCTTAGCCTTCTATCTAGCAACTTTTTTTTTTTTTTTTGGTTGATAAATATGCAAACTTTATTAGAAAAATATTAAAATGATGCAAAGAATTCAAAAATTCAGTCCCTAAAGGGAAACATGCTAAAGATATTAAATCCTCTACAAAATCTACGAAAGCCAAAATATCCAGATCAACCAACCTTGTAACCCAATTATATAACACCATAAGCAACCGTCTCTCCAACTAAGGAATCGAATGAGACACCCCTTAGAATACTCATCTATTGTGCTCCAACCAAAGAAGCCACATTAAACAGTGAGAAGCAATCATCCATGCCTTCCGATGCCTCCTACCAGCCCTACCCCCAGCCCAACTATGTAAAACTGCCAACACAATACCTGGTTGCACCCATACCAAGCCAAAAGTCGCAACAATAAACATTCATAGCCGAGAAGCAACTGGACAATGAACAAGTAAATGGTCCACCAACTTGGCATCACCACAACACAAACAACACTAATTCACTAAAATATGCCCATACCATATTAAATTATCAATCGTCAGAATATGTCCTAAAGTCGCTGTTCACACAAAGAAAGCTATCTTGGAAGGCGTGCCCGACACCCACACACATTTCCGTGGAAGAAACCTGTATCAACGTGAACATGCGCACCATAGAATGAAGACATAGAAAAAGGCCCTTTAGAATCCGGGCAAACCCAAACCATAGAATCCTCCCCTACACCCCCAATTTGCAACCCGTATAAGAAATCCAAAAACTCCACTAACTAATCCACTTCCCAATCCTAAACATCTGGACGCAACCACACATTCCAAACAACTGCCTATCCCTGTCCAATTTGAACCTCCCCCACCATAACCTCAAAATCTTCTGCAATCCCAAAAATCAAAGGGAACATCTACTCTAAAGGAATGTCACACCACCACCTATCACGCCAAAAACAGACTCTATCCCTTACCCCTACTTTCAGCTGAACCAGCCGCTAAAACTCCTCCCAACCCAACCAAATTCCTTTCCAAACACTCCGACCATGAGACTGCCCCACCCTTCCCAAACACCACCCTCCCTCTTCCCAAACCATACTTCGCCACAACCACCTTCCTCCACAAATGCTCCCTTTCCCCCACAAAATGCCACAAGCACTTGCCCAACAAAGCCAAGTTAAACATGACCAACCACCTAGCCCCCAAGCCCCCTTTCTACTCTGGAACACACACTTGATCCCAAGCCACCAAAGGGGAATGAGAAACCTCCCCCTCATCGCCCCATAAAAAGTCTCGTTGCAACTTCTCGATCCGCTTCACAACTGCCACTGGAATCATGTGAACAAACATAAAATAAGTGCCGATACTCGACAAAACACTTTTGACCAAAGTAACCCTCCCTCCTTTTGATAAATATTGACGTTTTCATCCTGCCAACTGTCGTTGCACCCGCTCCACCACCCCATCCTACACCCCTCATGCCTTGAAAGAAGCTCCCAGTGGTAGATCAAGATACGACACCGACAGCGAAGGCACCTTGCACCCCAAAATTGCTGCCAAGATTGGCAGCCATTTCACCTCTCCAACCAGGATTAATTCAAACTTTGAAAGATTAACCCAAAGTCCCGACACAACCTCAAAACACAACAACACACACTGAATATAGCGACCCCGGGTTTACCCTTGTTGTACAGTGATCCAATGCATGTCTTATCTGATGGGTTTATTGTTATTATTTTGAGGGCGTTACACTGAAGAGGTCCAATCTGATCAACATCCGCATCACAAAATATAAGTGCATCATCTGCGTAAAAAAGATGTGAAACAAGCAATGAAGCAGATCCAGAACCCACCTCAAAGCCCTAAAACAAACCTCCATGAACCCCCCTCGACAGCAAATGCCCCAAAGCCTCCATTACCAATATGAACAACAACGGGGATAAAGGGTCACCCTACCGCAGACCTCAATATGTAGGAAAGAATCCCACTGGACAACTATTGACCAAAATAGACATCCGCACAGTAGATATACAAAAATGTATCCACCGCCTCCAAATAGCCACAAAACCCATCCTCTCTAACGTATACAACAAAAACTCCCAATTAAAATTGTCATATGCCTTCTCAATGTCTAGTTTGCAAATGATACCCTCCTTCCCTTGCCTCAACCTCGAATCCACACACTAATTGGCTACCAAAACCACATCCAAAATTTGCCTACCACCCACAAAAGCATTCTAAGACTCAGAAACCACCCCTTCTAACACCCCTCCCAGCCAATTTGCCAAAACCTTAGCCAACAATTTATACACACTAGCCAAAAGACGAATGGGTCAAAGCTCCCGAATATCCTCCGCCCCACCCTTCTTCGGAATCAACGCTATAAAAGTGGCATTCAAACTTTTCTCAAACTATAACGTCCGATGAAACTGCTCAAACATAGCTAGAACATCCTCCCTCACCACTCTCCAACAATGATGGAAAAAAAATATGGAGAAACAGTCCGGCCTCAGCGCCTTATCCCTAGGCATACTCTGCAACGCCTTAAACACCTCTTCTTCCATAAACGCCCTCTCCAACAAAGTGCAATCCACCTTTGAGATAGCATCAAACAAAACCCTATCCAACCACGGTCTCCAAACTCCCCCATCCAACCGAAATAAATGCTCATAAAAACCCACTATAGCCCCCCTGATCTCCTTCGATGACGAGAACTCCAACCCATTCACCCACAATTTCCCTATCTGGTTCACCCATTGATGCGTATTAGCTAAATGATGAAAGAATCTCATGTTCCGATCTCCATCCTTCTGCCATAGGCATCCAGACTTTTGACGAAAGCTAATCTCCTATATACGATCCGCCTGCCCAAATTCCTTTCGAGCCACATTCCGACGAGCCATATCCTCTTCTAACAAGATCCCCACTTCCTCTTTCTCATCCAACCCCTATATAACTGCTAAAGCATTTGCCTTCTAAGTCTTCAACCGCCCAAACACCTCACTGTTCCACCACCTCAAATTAGACTTGAGAAGCTTCAACTTCTGAGCTAGGTGGCAACTAGGATCTCCAAACACACTGCAGTTGCCCCACCACCCCTGGACTTTCTCTCCAAACCCTTCAAACACAAGCCACATATTCTCAAATCGAAATGGCGTCGGACCACTCCTAATCCCCCACTATCCAATAAAACTAGGCAATGATCTGAGACAAGACAATGCAACCTCAATTGTGTCACTTGTAAAAAATGGTCCTCCCAATATCCAATAACTAGGAGCCTATCAATTCAGGACATCACCCTGCCCCCAAACCAAGTATAACCACCCCCTTGAAGTGGCAAATCCACCAATTCCAACTCATCAATAAAAGAAGAAAAAGCCCGCATAGAGCCTGACACTGAACTTGCCCCCTTTTTCTCCTCCATACGCCGCACCACATTAAAGTCACCACCCACACACTAAGGAACCCCTCATCGAAAAGCAACACACTATAACTCCTTCCAAAAACTAGCCCATTCCAAACCTCTCACAAGGCCATAGACCCTAGTGAAGGCCCATCGGTAATCATCCACAACACTGCGAAACAAACAAGATATCGAGAAAGCCCCCACCTCCACGTCCTCCTTTTCCACCACCCGCCAGTCCCAACAAAGAAGAACACCCACTGCCACCCACATCGCTAGCAAAAACGTTCAATCCACACAACGCCCTGACCCCCCCCCTCCCCAAATGGCTCCCTAATGGTCTCCCCTCAAACTTATTTTTAATTGGTGTTATTCCTACTATTTTACAAATATATTCATTTCTAATTTTATTTTTCCTAATCTTACCACACATCCATCTAAGCATTCTCATCTCAGACACTCTCATTTTATTTTGTAAAGCATCTTGATTTCATAGTTGTTCTATAAAAAATTTAGTTCAATTTTGTTGATATTCGTAGATTACATAATGTGGTAAAAGCACTCCTTTACTTGAACCAACCTACATTAATTTGATAGATCACATCATCACCAACCTCTCTATTCTTGTTAACAATCAAACCTAGGAAAGAACAAATTTCACTCTTTGTTATCTCCATGTTTTCAGTCTTCACTTTTCCATTATTTCTACATCTATTGTTACTAAAGTTACATTCTTTTTATTAGTTCTTACAATTTTAAACCTATTTGACTCAAGTTTTTGTCTTCAAAATCTTGATTTAGTATCAATTCCTCCATTAGTTTCATCCACTAAAACAGAGGACATTATCTGCAAAATAGAACATCATTCTGAAAATATTTAGTTACTTCATCCATGACTAAGGCAAATAGATAATGACTCAAAGCCGACTCTTGTTGCAATCTTACAATCATTGAAAATTCATTAGTTTCTCTTGCAGGTGATCTAATTGATAGTCATAGACCCATCATACATGTCCCTTATTGCATTAATATGCCCCTCGGTCACACCCTTGTTTTTTAATCAACAACCATATTATATCTCTAGCCCCCTGTTATAAACTTTTTCTAAGTCAATAAAACTATATGAAGATCTCTCCTCTTGTCATTGTACTTTTCTATCAATCGTCTTAGTAGATATATCGCTTCCATACTTAATCTACCAAGCATAAATCCATACTAATTCTTTGACATTGTTTTTATAACTCTTAGGTGATACTCAATCACTCTCCCACAATTTCATTATATGACTCATCAACTTAGCACCTCCATAGTTCGTAATTTTAGATATATACTTTATTTTTATGTAGTTACTGAAATACTTTTCACCACCTGTTAGGTATTTTTCTATTCATTAGAATCTTATTAAACAATTCTGTTAACCAAAACACCTTCTCCTTACCTAAGGATTTCCATGCCTAAATAGAGATACAATATGGTCCTAATGTCTAACCTAATTTCATCTTCTTTAGTGCATATTCCACCTAAAACTCCTTTGTTCGACAACAAAACTTACATCATCTAGTTAACCCCAAGGGGTTGACCTAGTGGCAAGGTCTTAAGTATTGGGGGTGTGCTCCCTCCAAGGTTCAGGCATCGAAACCTCTTAGGTGCTAACAATTCCTTGGAGTCATCGGACTGGGGAAAACTTTTGAATTAACTATGGTGCACTTGTAGAAAACTTCTTGCCGAGGGCTGTGCACGCCTGGGAATTAGTCGAGCTTTGATCCGGACACCCCAGTGCCAATCAAAAACAAAAAACTTATTATCTAGTTCCATCAATGTTCTCATATTCTTCCTTCCTAAGCATAAGATATAAGATGATTTTCCACAGCTAAATCTACGAAGTTAAAACTTATGTTTAAATTTGGGGCATTTGTATCAAGGCAAAGTAAATATGAACAATTTATAAATGGAAGCATATGATATCAATCAACTAAAAACAGATTGTGTATCCCGGCTGCAAGGTCATCAAAATATCGTAATATAAATCCCATTCTGCTTCTACATTTTAGCAACTGAAGAAAGCTGACCTCTGGCATGGGACTGGGTTCATAGGTGTCATCATCCTCAGCTATGACAAGGATTTCATCACCTTCCTTCAGAACATATTTATCGTCTGGATTTAATTTTATCCTCCCACCCTCTGCAGCAACCTTGACTCCACAAGGAATTGCATCAGGGAACGAAATAAGTACGTCCTCAAAACAAAGGCCATCCAATTGAGGCCACCTTTTGATGTAAAACTCAGCATTTTCAAACCCCAAAATATCCTCCCATATCTGCCAAAAATAATGACAACAATAACAAATATTTACTATAACGGTAAATTTCACTTTTGAACAACTAATGATAGTCTGCATTAATCAGACGTTATATCAAACAATTGCCAAAAAAAAAACATATAAGCCAAAAATATTATATTCTATCAGAGTGCATGTGCTAAAAGTGTGCAAAAATTTGGAGAACTAAAACACAAATATCGTCTTGGGAACTTGGTTTCTGAAGACACCAGTACTATCCGGCACTATCCCTAAGCTTTCCATATCGAAGAAAAACAGGACTCTAGTACAAGTTGACAGTTTTTACATGATTAATTACACTAAGATAAATTTCCATAAATAAAAGGATGACTTGAGCATTCCACTTATAATAATTTTCGCTAGTTAATCCTAGATAGAAGAAAACCAGTCCCGTGGTAAGACCCCATCACAGTTAACCTATGGCATCTATGTAAAGCATATCCAAATAAGTATGACATTTAGAGCATGTGGCATACCATGTCAGCAAACCCATTCCCTTCCAGAACCATTACAATGTTAGGAATGACAATGAAAAGAAAAATAATATGTTCACATATCACTACTGCAGACCAGAAGAAAACAGCTGCGCTATAGACGAAAGCCCCAATAGTAGCCAACGACTCAGACATCAACAGTTTTGACAAATAGGGTGCACCTTTAAATTAAAGCCAGTCAAAGGCAACACCAACAGAAGCAAATGGTAACATTTATAGAGGCGGTGATGCCTTGCAAGAATGAGCAACTCATTCAATCAAAAATAGTGGTATCATAATTACTGGCCCTCCTTAAATCTTCTTGTACTTACGGAGTCAAACTTTTCATGACATTTTAGTATTCAAAATGAAATCAATATCACAAAACAAAACAGTGGATTAACAGTGGAAACAATGACAACCATAAGCCCTTTTGAGTCACACTCACCCATCAAGGGGGAGATTGTCACTAGCCTCCATTAAACAGTTAACTTTAGCCATTGCAGATACCACATTATATGAAGTGTAACTAAAGCACATTTAACAGACCTGTGCAAGGCCTGGCTGGAGAGCACATTGTATCATCAACCGTCCAATCACATCATGTGCAACAACTGTTTCAATGAGTTCTCCTCCAACAAGCTTCACCAAGGGCTCATTGTCAAGATCACTCATTTCTACAACAACATGACTTCTCAAGCCCTCTTTTACTCCTGTGAGACTAAGCACAACCCTCAGAGCACGTGCATCACTCTAATAAGAAATTACGGAACGAGTTAAGAATTCTTTTGGAGAAATTGTACGACCAAGAACAAAGAAAATTTAAGAAATTGGAAAGTGAAAAACCTGATCTGCATTTTCATCAGATGCTAATACAATGATAGCATGCGCCTTTGAAACTGAAACCTGGCAATCAAGAACAAGAATCAATACAAATGACAACTAACAATCAACAAGAGATGCAAAGAGAAAGGGGTATTTTAATAAGAGCATAATGCACATTGAATTTTTTACTTGAAACGTACACTAGACACCCAACCATTACATAAACACAAAAAGGATAAAGAGACAAGAGAGGGGATGGTGGGAGAACAAGGGGAAATAGAAGATAATGGATACCTTCTTTAAGTCGGCAAGTATAAGAGGACTGCCACTTCTACATATAACAGATGTCCCCATGAAGTCAAATTCCAGTTTTGCTATATCCATCTCCATTTCCTCTTTGTCTCGTTCTGCAAGTACAACAACAACACCGCCACCAAGGCTCTTATTTGCTATTGCTAGCTGCTTCAAAAGTGAACCCTGTGATCAAACATTGGCTCTTACTTCTCTAATCTTAATGGACATTTCAATCTCAAGGTTCACACAGTAAATTCTTCGTTAGCAGTTAACACAATAATGCTCAGTTGCAAAGAAGTCATGTCAAGTGCAGGTCAATAGCTTGTGGTGTTCTCTCTTCACTTGCAAATACATATATAAAATAACTCTAGCATCTTATCCAAGCACAAATATTAAGTCCATGTATCATAAATTTAATGATAGAGTTGAGTGGTGGAGAAGAAGGATTCATATAGCCAATCCCATTTGATGGGACTTAAAGCTTGGTTTGGTTTGATTTGGTTTAGTTTATCATAAATTTAATTTAACTAAGGAGACACACTGCTCATAAGAAGATCTATTTTAAAAAAATTATCCCTTATTCTGCTCCATGAGATGGATTCAGTAACTCTAACTACACAGAGTTCTATGGAGCACCACAAATTTTGTGCTTCCTACAAATTTATCAACCAAAATGTACAGCTTGGTTTGATATCTCCAGAAAAAGAAAAACACCAGTTTTAACTACTTGAACCACTTAAAGGCCACCGTAAGAACTGTGGGTGGCTTTTGCTTTCTCAGTTTTTACTTTCAATACATCTCTCTCTCTCTCTCTCTCTGAGAAAAAAATTGCCTCCTGTGGTGATTCTGGAGCAGTTTTTCTTCCAGTAAACCACATCGTACCCGGTCTTCTCCATTTTCTCTTTCTTGTTTTACTTCTTCTCAGCAACAAAAGTAATGGGAGTCTAGGGTTTTCTTTTTGAAACCAAAGGGTTTTATGAAATTGTAACAAGATGTTAAGGGCAATGGGATGGTTGTCTAGAGAAAATTGGATCCAAAGCTTTTGGAGCCTCTTCTTTTTTTTTTTTGTTTTTTTGATTGGCAACAACAAAAAGAGAATATTATTAATGAAAAGAAAGATTACAGGAAACAAGAGGACACGGAGTCCCTTAAAGAATAAGAAAATCGATGGGCCTGTACAATCTCAAAGACCCCAAAGGCTTTTTCAAACATCACCATCATCTTCTTCATGGAAATAGACTGCACTGAATTCATTGATGCCAAACAGGCCCTCGGCATTATTCATTAAGTAACAAGACTATCTTTAAACCATCCCAGAAACTCATATATAAAGATCATAAGCCATAATAATATCCTGAAGTCAACTCCAAGGCAGCATTTAGTCAACCCTCCAAGCCTTTAATACACTTGAAGCCTAACAATGAAAAGTTAAACCAAGAATGTTGCATCAAGTTCAAAAGTAATTTAGGGAATTACCAATTTGTCACTCCATCCAAGAATTAGTATGTGGTTACTTTCAATGACTTCACTCTTCCCTTTCCGCAATGAATCCACCTTCTCTGAGATAGCATCTGAAACAAGCCCTAACATCATGGCAAATATCAGCATACCTCCTGCACTAACAGAGACTGAAACGATCCTTGGCCCAATGCCAACTCTGTCAGCATGATTTCCGGAGTCTGCCACAAAAGTCCATGACAGCCAAAGAGCTTCAGCAAAGCTACTGTCACTGACAGCATAGAGTGCCAAGCCACCAAATCCTATAAGAAATATAGTGGCAAGGAGAAGAGCAAGCAGCTTTGCATAAGGATAGACTGAGAAACACACGTCCACCATATATGCAATTCTTTTCTTCAAGGGAACCTCCTCCTTGCTATCCTTTGTCATTTTTAACAGATTCTTTAACCGCTGAGCATAATGAATATATTTGTACAAGGCAAATGGCACAATGAGAGTAAACAAAACAGTAGACAGAGCAATAGTTCTACTGTCAGTGCTGCCAAAACAAAAGAACGAGCTCTCATTTTGTGGTTCCAAAACTTGAATGCTGTCCTTATGAACAACATCTTTGTGGTTACACCATCTACGAAGGTTCCTATTCTCTTCCTGCAAGCAAATTACCACCAACCATATCAAAAAACATCTGTTATACGATTTATTCACCATAACTAAATCAAATTAAGAAACCATAATCCTCAGGTTGGCAGTTGTGCACTTCTTAGCTTTGCTTAAGGCTGTGTTTGGTTCATGAATTTGAAGAGGGATTTGGAAATGGAAAGAGAAAAGTTGTGTGAAACTAGGTGAATCAAACACAGCCTAAAACTCAAGTAGATCAGGTATTAAGTACTTTTTTTCTTTGATAAGTATGAAGGTCCGATTAATGAAAAATTCAATATTCCACATTTTAATGTCTTTTCTTTCTTTTTCTTTTTTCCCATCAAACTCTCGGTAACCAACTTAAGTAGTATGTGAGTTTTAGATTTGTCTACAAATGTAGCTGTCGCTTGGGACAGTAAGAAAGTCCGAGATTCAAGGTTCAAGTCAATGGAGCGACTGAGGTCCTTTCATTGTAATTTAACACATCCTATCTTTTGTCCAAAATATATATATATATATATATAAATACCTGCAGATTTGCGACTTTAGTGTGCAAACATATTGTACAAGACACCGATAGTACACAAGTAAATGTGAGCTGCATAGAAGAATCAATCACAACAATCAGAAACATAGCATGAAAAAACTTTGACCTAAACGTGAACACGTTCTATGTTCAGTTTGCAGGACAAAAAAAAAATGCTGCTAAAGGAAATACAATTCATTTAGGCTGCGTTTGCTTCATGAATTTTGATAGGGATTTGAAAAAGGAATGGAAAAATTAGGCAGTGTTTGGTTCATGGATTTAGGTAAACTGTGTTTGATTGGAGAATTTTCAAAGTGATTTAAAAAAGAAAAGGCAAAGAGTGTGAAATCAAATAAAATATAACTATATTTTATTCATATTTCACGTGTTTTTCCTTCTCTTTTTAAATTTCTTTTTAAATCTCCAACCACACACAGCGCTAGCGATTTAGAAAGGGATTTAAAAGGAAATAAATGTCTCAATATTTTCCAAATTACAACCCAAATTCATAAACCATACGCAACTTTAGGCTGTAGAGATTTGAAAGAAAAAACGAAAAAAAAAAGTTGTTTTTAAATCTTTATAAAATTCTATCCAAATTCATGTTCCAAAAACAGCATAATTAACTCGGCCCCGAAAACAGTATAATTGGCTATCGAAAGTAAAGAATGACTAACCAAATACATGATCCAAGAACTACGAAACCTGCCAGTTTTCGGAGCAACGGAGTGAGCAGTAGCTGAACCGGATGACGAAGAATAAGGAACCAAAACTTGAACCGGCAAAGCCTTCAATTCTTCATTTGGCTTCTTCGTCCTCGGCTTCAACTCAGCGCGAATCGGCCTAATGAAATCCGCTCCGGAGTCGGAATTCGCCGGCATGGAAGCGCTCCGAGCGGGTGGTGGAGCCGGAGAGCGAGGCGAGAGCTCTTGCTTCTGAGACTTGGAGGACTTGACGATGACTCGCCTGCGAGAAGCGTGGGGGCCGAGAAAGGAAGGGAACATCCAGTCGCGGTCGCCCTGAGCTCCGAAGGGGTCGGTGTTGGGGGAGGTGTTGTCGGGATCGAATGAGCGGTGAGACGACGGCGTTGAGGTGGAGATGCGACGGACGGTTGGGAAGAGAGGACCCGGGAAGTGAGGGGTCCGATTATCGTCCGCAATAGTCCTTGATTTCTTGAGAAGTGGCCTCTCGGCTTTGATTGGGTTCGGAATAGGGTTGGAGTTGGAGTTGGAGTTGGAGTTGGAGTTGGAGTCTCCATCGCTCTGAGGCATTGCAGATAGGTTGTGTGTGTATGAAGAGAGAGAGAGAGGGAGAGAGAGTTTGAAGTTTTATCTGAATTTGAAGTTGTGATCTGTGGAAGTTGAAGAATAAGAGGCCATACGAGAGCGAGAGAGATCTGATTTGGGAATATGAAGAGAGCAAAAACAGAGTGGAAGTGAGTGCAGTGGCGAGTCGGTCCAGCTGATGCTGTTCAAGCTGAGATGAGAGGGTGTATTTGGTGTAGTGCTAAACTGAGCAGTTCCCAACCATATCCAGAGCAGTAGTTGAAGTGCAATCCGAAAAAGTTGGGAAATTTTATGCTGGACACTCTCGAACAAATTATCTGTCAGAAAATCACGTGGCCATATACCCTTCAATAGGATTATTTTATTATTTTATTTTTAACACTATATAATTCTTAATCTCCTCTTATTAGTTGGACATACCATTAATATGAAATTTTTGAAACACATGATAATTACTCTTAAAGGTGTGAACGTTTTATACATAGATATGTATCTTATTATGTGTTTTTTGGTATGTATTAAATATTTTAATGGTAAATATTACATATTTTTAGATAAAATAATATATAATATTATTACAAAAATTCATAATATTATCTTAAAATATATAATTTTATTTGTAAATCACAAATTGTCGTAACTCCTATAAAAAAAATACATAATATTATAAAAATACATAATATTTATCATAAAAATGCGTAACAGGTATATATGATACACATATTTTAAAGGGGTATGGCTTCTGTCCAGTCCGGGATTGGATTAGACCGTGTTGTTGGACCCGTGGGAGCCCACCACGGGTTCCGTTTTGATAATCTGAACCGTTCAATGTGTAGAACTCGTCTAGTACTATATGCCTATAAAAAATCACGTTGATCGGATATCGATAGCTATGTGATCAAAACAGTTTTTTATCAACCATTACTTTGTTCACCGTCTAATTTTTTTAATATGAAATTGATTTGATCATATAGCTATCGATATCCGATCAACGTGATTTTTTTGAAGCATATAGTACTCGACGAGTTCTACACATTGAACGGTTCAGATTATCAAAACGGGACCCGTGGTGGGCCCCCACGGCCCAACAGCACGGTCCAGTCGGACTGGACAGAAGCCATACCCTTTTAAAGAAGTGTGTACCATAGTGTTTTCAAAAAAAAATTATTTCACTAAAAATATTTCTTTTAATGACAATATAAGTGTAACTGTGTAATCTACATAATAAGGGAAGAGTGTTTTTTAATTTATCTCAGAGGCAATTGTCCTACTAGGACATTTTAACGGTCATGATTCATTTCTGCTTGAAGATGGACGGTGGAGATGAAAACCTTCTCTCTCACTCTACCTGGACTTCTCGCCTAAGAGCCACAAACTTTGCAACCACCCATCCTTATCTGTCGCACCTCACTTTTCCAAATTCCAAATTTCAAAACACACCCATCCACTCCCTACAAAAGAGAGACCCACGCTCATTGAACTCTCCCTATAAACTCTCCTCTATTTTTCTTTGAGTCTCACTTTCAATTTTCAAATTTGAAAACACCCACGATCATCAAACTCTCTATAAACTTTCCTCTCTTTGTCTTTCAATCTCACTCCCAATTTTCAAATTTCAAAACACCCACCCTCCCTCCCTCTCTCTCTCTGTCTTACTTCCCACTGTAACATCGGTACATCTCCCTCCGACGCTGATACATCTCTTTTCGACGACTCTCTCGCGACCAAGCCATGGTGCTGCTCATCACCTCTTCCAGTCATCGCCACCGCACAACGCCACTTCTTCTAGTCATCTCCACCACTGCTGCTCATCACCACTGCCACCGCTCATCATTGCCGTCACCATGGATGGATCGACATCAGGCTACTGCCAACATTTCTGGAGAGCTCCCCACTCTCCTCTTTGCCTTTTTAACTCTCCATTCTTTCCTTACACACTGTCACGCTAACTTGGCTTGGAAGAGAGAGAAATCACATCCACTGTGATGTGTGACTGTTTTAGAGAGAGAGAGAGATTCAAGAGCTCATACTCCATTAATGCTTCTTAGCAAGAAAGCATGACCTATTGCTTTTTCACAGGGAGTCCTGTTTCAAAATTCACCTAATCAAATGATACATTAAGCGATTGATTTCTTCTCTTCGATGGAACTTAGTCAAGTGACATTGGAGATCTTCTCAAAGCTTGAGCAGAAGTGGCTCTACCACTGCGAGGGATGCGGATTCTCAGCATCGATGGAGGCGTAACCATCGGTTTTTCGCTAGAGCCGCCTTGATACCCTTAGATGATCAGATTTGAGCTAAAACCGGCAATTCTCATTCTCGCATTGTTGCTGGAACCGGAATCGGAGCTATCTTCGCCGCAATGTTGACTGCCGACGACGGAAACGAACGTCCTCTCGTTATGGCTGCAGAAGCTGTCAAATTTGTAGGGCAGATGTATCTTATAGATGAAAGAGAATAAGTGGTGGAAGATGGAGAAGAGAGAATGAGTGGGGGATTGATGGACAACATGTGAGTTCTATGTTTCTAATCCTTAAATTGATGTTTTTGGGTTTTTTTTCTTTTCTTTTTTTCTTTTTTTTTTGGGTGTGTGTTTTGTTTGTTCTTTATTTATATAGTTTTTTTTTTTTTATGTAGCTTATGGATTTGGATTTATTTTTTAAAAAAGTTTTAGGTTTGAAATAATACTTGATCTTCATAAAATGGGTTTTGATTTTAGAAATATATTTTTAATTTCAGTTTGATTTGTGAAATGGATTTAATTCCTTAATGGAAAATGAGTGTTGATTTTTTATGATTTTGAAAAAGTTTTTGAAATGGGTGTTGATTTCTTATGATTTAACAAAATCAAATCACAAATTTAAGATAAAATAGAGTGAAAAAAAAATAGAGAAAGCATGAACGAAATAAGGGATTCATTGCCACCTCTGCTCCGTGACTGTCCACCACCATTGAAGAGGAAGATCGAACAAAAGAAATAAAGAGTTTGTTATTTGAGCTTTGAGAGGAGATGTAGTGTTTGTTAAGAGATGAGAGAGGATGAGAGGAGGAAATAAGAAAGAGAGGTGTTACAGAGAGAGAGAGAATGAGAATGAGTAGGAAATATGTAGAGATAGAGAGTTAGCAAGTGGGGAAGAGATAACACGTAGAAAGAGAATGAGTAGGGGAAGATGAAGAGAGAATGAGTAAGAGACAAGAGGGGAGAGATAGATTAAGGGATGGTTTGAAATGTTTTAAATAAATATACTTTTTGACTTTTTATAAATAAATAAAAATGTGTAAAAAAGTAGATAAAGTTGTTAGAAAAGCAAAGAGAAGATGTTGATAGATGTAACTTAAATAAGTGTCTGTATGCAAAAAAATTGCATTTATTTAGGTTAACCCAAACAAGCACTAAATAATTATGTTAGTGGGAGAGAGATTGAATAATTATGTTTAATCTAAACAAAAAAAAAAGTGTTTTTTTTAATTTAAATAAATAATTATAGAGTTATTTTTTTAACATATTTTTTTTATTTATATTAAAAATACGCGTAGTCTCTAATTAAAAAGAGAGAGTGAGCCAGAAAAAGAAACCATTCTGAGACACAATAAATAATTGAAAAGATGAGTGTAATTAGCAACAGGAGTGTGGTCTCTAAAAAAATAATAAAGCCACACAGAATTATAAGAGGTGTATGGGAGATTGGTTAATTTAGCAAGTTATTTAAATTTTTGGTTAGTTCAGTAGGTTAAAATAATTATGTTTAGCAAGATTGTTGAATTTTTTTATAATTAGATATGATGTATATGAGAAAAAAATGTAAAATAATTATGAATTTGATATTATTTTAACTTATTTTGTCTTTTAATTTTATTTTAATCAAAAAAAATATTTAAATACATACTACTCAAAAAAATGTTTGAGGTGACATTGTTAAATACATTATATATATATATATATATATTGATAAATACACTAAAGTTTATATATGACTCAATTCAACCACATTTTAAAATTTTAAAAATGGGTAAACACACTTTTGTTCAATATTGTATTAGTCACTATTTGAAATTCTATAATTTTTTTAGATGGTGAAATTCTATAAGAAGTTCAATAAAAATTTCAAATACGAATTAATATTTTAACTTAAACTTTTAGCAATGAATTTGATAAATTACATTTTAACTTAAACGAACCGCCATCGTACGATACCTACTGAAGTCAGGGCTGGTGGTGGTGTTGTCGTAGATGGTGGTAGAAGTCTTATGTGAGGAGTTTTATATTGCAGTAAAATTATTGTCATCTTGAATTGATTTATTATAATTGATTTCTGTAGCACTTAAATTATTGTCATTTTGAATTGATTTTTTTGTGTGATACCAATATTAATAATTTATGTTAATTGATTTTTATAAAATATGTGTACAGATATTATTTGGAAAATGATTTTCGGCTCGAATTTTGTCCCCTCGAACAACCCGAACCCAAAAAAAAATCATTTTCCATCTCATCTCATCCCCAACACTCTCTCTCATTCCCAACACTCTCTCTCCTCTCTCAACTCTTCAAATCCTCCATAGCCGCGATTCAACTATTTGCAAACCTATATCATTCGAAGAAGCAATTCAACAATCGGAATGCAATTCAACTCGTCTATGAAACCCGTCTCTCATTCGGAGCTGCGATTCAAGGATATATGTTGTTGATGTGAATGTGGGTATAATATGATCTTCTTAGCTCATCTTCTTTTGAAATATCGGAAGTACTCTGAAAGGGTATTTCTTTTCATTTTGCTCTGCAAACAGGGCAAATTTGGTTTCCATGTTTTACATTAGAAGTAATGCAGTGGAAGTGGAATGAGTGGGAGCATTCTGCAGTGAAAATGGCATGGCCATGGCCTGGTTTCATGGTTGTTAGGCATATCGCACAAGTCCTCTACAATTAAAAAGAAATGCAAGTGAAAAGAAGATTTGCAGACAGAATCAGGAATAAAAAATGTTACAAATCAAAGAGCTTAAAAGTAAAAATTAAAGGACATAATTAAACTAGCTTTAACATAATCCTAATGCAATTCCACCTATATAATCAAAACTCCAGAACTCAACTGCAAACATTTTAGATATTCATGAAGGCTAAATTGAAATGAACATCTCTTTGTTCTCAATATCATCTCTCCGCAACTTTTCCAAAAGAAATGAGATATTTTGATGATGCTTTGATTAGCTCATCTAGTTTGTTCAGAAATAAAATTGAGACACTAAGGTGGTTAGAAAAAATAGTGAAAGGCTTTCAAGTTTTCCCACTGTCGGTGGGCAGAGATTTCCGGATGGCAAACAACACAGTGATTTACGCTCGGCAGAGTTTTTCGCTAGTCGTCGGTGGTCACCCAGGTCGGTAGTATCAGCACCGATCGATCTCAGCGGTGGTCGCTTTCACCTATTCTTCTTCGACTGGATCCTCTCTCTCTCCTCTCCTCTCTTTTCTTCTATTTCTTGCGCGTGGTGTCAATTGCTCAATGTTGCAACTGGAGCAAACATTCAAAAATCATCTTTCTCAATTTCGGGCGATTCGGGGGGCTCGTTTTCAAGCTACATAGTGGAGTCGATATTATTTACACTGGTATACACTAGTTACCTAAATAAAACACAACAGAAGTTATATCTCAAAAGATTCTTTTGATTAATATTTTCTCAACTTTTCATTAATTGGTAGTTTCTCAATGTATTTTTAATAGGAATTTGGCCAACAATCCAGTCGGATTGTTTTGTGGTGAAAGTCTAAATATATGCACACAGAATCAGAATTTCAGGAGGAATCAAAACAAATATATACAAATATACATGTAGTATAATATAATATATAAACATAAATAATAATAAAAAAATCAAATACTATAGAAGTAACCTCTAATAGGATAAATAATTTTTTTTAGTAGAAAATAAAAAGAGAATGTGAGATGGTAGAAGAATGTGATATATATCTTTTATACTGAGGGACTATTTTATTTATAAAATAAGATTTATATTTTAAAAAAGTAATAATGATAAATAGAATTTTTTACAGAAACAAAGAGACCATGACTTTCCGTGTGAGTAATTTTCTGACCACACTACCCGTTTAGTTATCAGCTAGAGTGCACCGGCAGAATAGATGGCTCCAGTTAACCTGTAACAGAAAGAAAAGGCTCCGGCGGTGACTCTTCCACCCAGGGGCACTCCAACGATCAAGTCAGTATATCTCTCCAAGATAATCAAGTGCTAAACTTACTGCTCAAAGCATAAACTTGCGTACCTTAGACCCGCAGGGGTGCCTCTCTTTTATAGTTACCTTAATCCTAGTCCCACTAGAAGCCTGACTTCTTTGGATTCCAACTCAGTACTTACTTTGGACTCCTCAAGAGATAAAGATAAACTCCCTAAGAGTTTTATCCTCATCTTAACTAAGTCTCCTCTTCATTCTAGGACTCTGGTTCCTTATCCGTTTATCTCGGATTTCGATATCTTCGGAGATAACCTCGGCTTTGCCGAGATCACCTCAGCGTCACGACTAGGACACGTGGCACCTTGGCTGACACGTCGGCGTCACCTTGTCACGTGTTGGTACTCAGAAAATATATCCCCACAACTATCCTCTAGGTTCTATTACCTCGGCATTCTGAGGTGATGGAACCTATATCGGTACTTCCTCCTGTATATCAGCTTAAGAACTCCTCTGCCGAGATGATTCATTTTAGGTCGACATGTTCCCTTCAGAGAACAAGAATTCCAGTGAACTCTTTCATGTGTATGAGCTGTCATACACCATAATTCAACCGTTTTTAATCACACGTTTCTTTCTTACTGGCTCGTACCTGTGACGCGCCCATTAGTCATCTCTTTCTCACATGCGCCGTCTGACGTATGCGCTCTTCTAGGCGTATTGATTACTTTTTTGCTGCCGTTTTCATTTTTGACAAAATCTTTCCCCCTTTCTTCACTTTTCCACTTCTGCATCTGATTTCTCTTGCTTTTTCTCTCTCTAAACTCTTTCTTTCGAATCCGTCATTGCTCAAGCTCCAAGCTCTGTAATTACCTTTCGTTCTTCCTGTGAAGTTTTCGTTGTCTTCGTTACATCTGTAACTGTTGTCTGACTTCGGCAATCTTCATATCGGCTTCATATTTTCTGGTAAGCAATTGTTTCTTTCTATTCCAGTTCTTGATCTTTTCTGAAATTTCTTGTTTACTACTGCTTTGCTTAAATAATCAATTTGTAAATCATACATCTGAATGCGTTGATTTTACTTTTTGCTTATGCCCTGAATACATGTACTGTTCTTAGTTCTTCTTGCACGTCTTGCTATTGTTCCTGGCCTTCAACCCTTTGTATTCTTCATGTTTTTGATAGTCCATCTTTGTTCTCGACTCTGAAACTTCGTATTTGTTTTCTGTTTTTTGTATCTTTTCCAGATCTGTGCCTTTGATCTTTATCTTCATAACTTTAGGTTTGGGATTTGTTTGTAGAACCCACGATTTAGGGCAAAACTGAAACATTCCTTACAAATTTCTATACCAGCCCAAACCTAGGTTTTTGCCGAGGTCCCATCAATAAGAAACATCTTCTTTCTGAATTTCAACCCTTCTAATTCAGGCCGATATCATGGGTATGTGGAGACATAGGGTAGATACCCCGACCAAACTTGAGTACTTTAGGCAAGAGTTCTCCATCCCTGCCGATGTCCATCTGAGGCTGGCTGGGGATGATGACTCCATCATGCCCACAGATGATTCGATGCCTTTTCCCATTGTAGTTTTCACCGAGTGTGGACTTCGGCTCCCACTCAATATCCTTTTTCGCGAGATTCTTCACTATTATAAGTTGAACTCCATGCAACTAGCAATCAATTCCTACCGAGTGATCAATGGCATCATAGCCTTAGCTAAACGGGAAAATGCTAGGATCACTTTAGCCGATATCCAGTAATGCTATACCATGTGTACCCTTAATTTGAAAGAAAAAGGCTACATTTATTACCTTAAGCCGAGGTTTACAGAATTCAAAATCGTAGCCGACCTCCTTTTATTGCTTTATTAGTACTTCCAAGTTTTCTTTATGAATGTAATAAAAAGCAACTTTTGTAGCCGACCTCCCAGACTCCAACAAGGGGGGTGGAGATGACTATCTCATTACCTCGGGAAATTGGGAGTTTGCTCCAGACGAGGACATCCATCTCTACCCTTTTCCCTGATCAGTTTTAGAGGGCAAGGGTAAGAGCCCAGTATTTAGCTTTGCCTGTTTTCTTTCAAAGTTTTAAATACTTTGTCTGTTTCTGACGTCTATTCTTTTTGCAGCTGTTTGTCAGCCACCAAAAGATTTTCGCCAATCCTTTGTCCCCAGCAAAGACTTGAAGAGACTTTTGGATTTGCCAATCCAGAAGCGAAAGGCACCCCTGTTTCTCAACTTCATCCCAACATACAAATCAGCTCTCCCTGACGTCCCCAGGAAAAAGAAGAAGAAGAGCTTACCTCCTCCCTCTGCTACAACTCTTCCAGCTGCATCAACATCGCGAACAGACCAAGGATCAACCTCTGATCCAGCAGAACAGCCGTCGATCTCGGCTCCATACCTCATTCCACCATCCCAAAGAAAATGTCGCCGATGCCTTGTTCTTATAGCCGAGATGGGTCGCGCAAAGCCAGTTGCTAAAGACCTCCTAGCCAACATTCCATCATCCATTGACGAACAACCAACACAAACCCAACCTCCAGCAAAACCAAAAAGAATTAAGAAAGCTCAACCAAAGGCGAAAGTGACTTAGGTTGAGACTGAGGACATTTTGCCAGCCCCAAAACTGGCTCCAAGTCAGAAAACTGCCTCTGTCCCTTCGAAGAGGTCTGCCGAAGTACCTCCTTCTGAATCCTCTAAATCAAAAAGGCCGAGGTCATCTGCAACGACTTCGGGGTCAAAGAAACCAGATGTCCCCTAGGCCCCTGAAATCACCCTAGAGAATAAGCCCGTAATGACAAGTGACAGCACCGACGATATCAATGTCGGCGTTGCACTCAGTACCGCTCTACTTCTCCCCGGTGACCTGGAGCGGAACGTCCAGTATAGCGAGTATGAGAACTATGCCTTAATGTTACAGCACCCTGTTCAGGTAAAACGTCTTCTACTTGGTAAATTTTTCTTTCTCTTTATTTCATACTTTGAATATTCTTTAATACCTCTGTTTTCTTTCAGACCATCTAACATGCCCACTCTTTCTCAATGCAGTCTTTTGAGAACAGGGAGAGGCTTGCCGAGATGAAGAGGGAGGTCTCCAGCCTTCAAAAGACTGGAAGACCAAGCTGAGGAAGCCATCAAGGCTCAGACCGAAGCCGAAGAAAAGGCTGAGGCTGCTGAGGCCATTAGGAAGGTGGCCGAATCGCAAAGGAGAGAGGCCGAGGAAAAAATGGCCCAAGCTGAAAAAGAGCTTCAGGAGGCCTTGGCCACCAAAAAAGCTGAAATCAAAGACGCTGACGAAAAGGCGTACTCACAGGGTATGGCTGACGTTACTGAGGCCTACGAAAAACAAGTGAATGAGGCATGCAATAAGGGTTTCACCCTTGGTTGGATGTCCCTTCTTAAAAAGCTTAATGTTCCTGATGACTCTCCATTGCGGAAGGCCGATGCCATTCCCTTGCCATTTCCTCCAGCCCCAACTCCAAGTGAAGATGTCAGCGAATCTAATGCTGAGGATGAGGCCGAGGAGGAAGAGGACGAGGCTTTGATTAGAAAATCAAAAGATGCTCATGGGGCCAAGTCCCCTCTTCAGAATAAGCAAGTCCTAGACTTGACTCAAGATGAAGAAAGCGATGAGGTTGTCCAAGAAGCTGTTCCCGACATCGCACTAGCCGACATTCCTTCTGAGGTCAAGACTGTTGAAGAAACTCTCCAAGAAATTGACGCCGAGATAGTGGTAGAGAAGGAGGCCGAGGTGGTATCTGATCTTCAAATTCAACAATTTGGAGGAGAGGAGCCTTAGCTCTAAGTCTCTTTTTTTCTTTTGCTTATTTGTATTTTGTTGCTTCTTTTAATGTATGCTTTTTGTATGGCCGATGTGCCCTTTTCTTGGTGAATGAATATAACTTTTCTTTTCTAAGTGCTTGCACTCCTGTCTTTTCTTCTTTTTTTTGTCTTTGTATGATTTCTATACTTAGAATATCTTATATATGTATACTTTTCCTCCTTTGTGTAACCTTTTCGGGGTGACACACCTCGGTTATGCCAACCGATGATCTACCTCGGCAAGTTTTTGTTTCCGGTTTTAACTTCTACTTGTAAATTGCTACAAATTTCAACAAGTGAAGATAAACAATTATCTCGGCTTAACTTCAATTTGTAAATTGCTACAAATTTCAACAAGTGAAGATAAACAATTATCTCGGCTTAACCTCAACTTGTAAATTGCTACAAATTTCAACAAGCGTTAAGCATTACTTAGGTTTAACCTAAACTTGTAAATTGCTACAAATTTCAACAAGCGTTAAGCATTACTTAGGTTTAACCTAAACTTGTAAATTGCTACAAATTTCAACAAGCGTTAAGCATTACTTAGGTTTAACCTAAACTTGTAAATTGCTACAAATTTCAACAAGCGTTAAGCATTACTTAGGTTTAACCTAAACTTGTAAATTGCTACAAATTTCAACAAGCGTTAAGCATTACTTAGGTTTAACCTAAACTTGTAAATTGCTACAAATTTCAACAAGCGTTAAGCATTACTTAGGTTTAACCTAAACTTGTAAATTGCTACAAATTTCAACAAGCGTTAAGCATTACTTAGGTTTAACCTAAACTTGTAAATTGCTACAAATTTCAACAAGCGTTAAGCATTACTTAGGTTTAACCTAAACTTGTAAATTGCTACAAATTTCAACAAGCGTTAAGCATTACTTAGGTTTAACCTAAACTTGTAAATTGCTACAAATTTCAACAAGCGTTAAGCATTACTTAGGTTTAACCTAAACTTGTAAATTGCTACAAATTTCAACAAGCGTTAAGCATTACTTAGGTTTAACCTAAACTTGTAAATTGCTACAAATTTCAACAAGCGTTAAGCATTACTTAGGTTTAACCTAAACTTGTAAATTGCTACAAATTTCAACAAGCGTTAAGCATTACTGTCTTCTCTCTGCCCCTAATGTGAACCTGAGTTCCACTTGGGTTCTTATTATTCAGAAACAATCATTATGCATCTTTTATCAATTCACAAGTCTTTGGAGAATCTTGCTAAAATTTTATTGATGACGTCGGTAAAAAATAACAAGGAACATCTTAATGATAGAAAAATTTCAAATTACAAGTGTTCCAAGGTCTTGGCAATGCTTTGCCCTAATTGTCTTCAAGTCGGTATGCTCCACTGCCCAATACCGAAGTGATTCTGTAGGGTCCTTCCCAGTTTGGTCCAAGCTTGCCTTATCTGGGGTCCTTCTTGTTGCCAATAACTTTTCTCAGGACTAGGTCACCGACCTGAAATTCCCTTGGATTGACCTTCTTATTGTAAGCTCTAGCAAGCTGCTACTGGTATGCTGCGAGCTGAATTGCAGCTTTCTCCCTTCTTTCTTCTAAGAGATCCAGATCTCGTGCTAGAAGTATGTGATTGGTCCTATTCTCTACTCCCTGGGTTCTGATCCCTGGGATGCCGATCTCTAGAGGGATGACTGCTTCTGTGCCATAAGCCATGGCAAAGGGAGTTTCCCCTGTTGATCTTCTCGGTGTAGTCTGATATGCCCAGAGTACATTGGGCAACTCGTCTACCCACTTTCTTTTTGCTGCCTGCAGTCTCTTCTTTATCCCATCCAAGATTACTTTGTTGGATGCTTCTGTTTGCCCGTTGCTTTGGGGAAAACTTGGTGTTGAAAAGTAATTCTTTATCTTGAATTTCGCACAGAAGTTCTTGATGAGTTTGCTGTCAAACTGCGTTCCGTTGTCGGTAACTATTGCTCTTGGAATGCCAAATCTGGTGATGATGTTTCTCCATATGAAGTTCTTGACATCCACATCTCAGATTTTGGCAAGAGGTTCTGCTTCTATCCACTTCGTGAAGTAATCTGTTGCTACCAGTAAGTACTTCCTTTGCCCAGTTGCTTGGGGCAACTGCCTAATGAGATCCATGCCCCATTAGGCAAATGGCCATGGACTGAATACAGGGTTTGGGTTAGCAGCTAGCTGGTGTATCAAAGGTGCGAACCTTTGGCATTGTTCACACTTCTTTACGTAGGCTTCTGCATCTTTTTGCATGTAGGGCCACCAATACCCCTGGGTAATGGCCCTGTGAGCTAGTGATCTGCCCCCAGCGTGGCTACCACAAATCCCTTCATGAATTTCGTATAGAAAATCTTCAACCTGCAAAGGGTGTACGCACCTTAAAAGGGGTCCAGTGAAGGACCTTCTGTAGAGATGTCCATCTGCTGTCAGGCTGAATCTTGCCGATTTCAATCTGATCTTGTGTGCCTCCTTATGGTCTTCTGGCAGCTTTTCCTCTTTCAAGAATGCAACAATTGCATCCATCCAGCTTGGTCCCAAGTCCACACACATTGCTTCTTGCTCTGTGATCGGCTGTTCTATGCTTGGGTTTGACAGATAGTCAATCATTATTGTTCTTGTTTTTCCAGTTTGCATTGAGCTTGCCAAGTTGGCCAACGCGTTGGCGTGGTTGTTATCATCTCGGCTGACTTGAAGAAGTCGGCAGTTACGAAACAAGGCTGCCAGCCTGATGACTTCCTTTGCGTATGCCGACATCCTCTCATCTCCTGTTGTTTGATTTACTATAAGTTGAGAATCACAAAAAATTATTACTTCATCTGCTTCTACTGCCACTGCCAGCTTTAGTCCTACAATCAATGCTTCGTATTTTGCCTCATTGTTTGAGGCCTTGAACCCTAATCGAATAGATTGTTCCAATATCTCCCCATCAGGGGATATCAACACTACTCCTGCCCCCGTTCTTTGCCGGTTTGAGCTCCCATCGACAAACAGGCGAAAGGAGTCACTGATGTAAATACTGCAGGGTCTGAGTTTTTCCTTTCCTTGTTCTTTTGCCTTTGGTTGGGCTTCTCCTTGTTTACTTGGATATCGTTCATCTTGGCTCAACGGAGCCCGGTGTTCGATGGATTCTAGCGTGAATTCCGCTACGAAGTCGGCCAAAACTTGGCCCTTAATTGCTGTTCTCGGTCTGAACTCCAGGTCATACTGGCCCAAGGCCACTGCCCATGTTGCTATTCTTCCAGTTAAGTCTCTTTGTTGTAACAAGGACTTCAGCGGGTGCTCTGTTAGCACTATAATCTGTGCGCTTGAAAGTAATGGTTCAGCTTCTTTGAAGCCATTATTAAGGCCATCATTAATTTCTCTAGTGGTAGGTACCTTGTTTCTGCATTTGCTAGGGTTTTGCTTACATAATACACAGCCTTTTGCTCCCCTTTTTTCTCTCGGATTAGCACTGCACTTACTGCGTGTTCTGAAACTGCCAAATACAAAAACAGTTCTTCTCCAGGTTCAGGCGTTGAGAGGATTGGAGCTGTGGTCAGATACTTTTTTAGGTTGGCCAAAGTGGCCTCACATTCCTCAGTCCATAGGAAGTCCGTGGCCTTCTTCACCAGGTTGAAGAAGGGTTTACATTTGTCTGAGCTTCTGCTGATGAACCTGTTTAGGGCTGCGGCCCTTCCAGTTAGCATTTGCACCTGTTTTGCCGATGTCGGGCTCTTCAACTCTAGGATGGCCTTGATTTGATCTGGGCTGGCCTCAATGCCATTTCTTGTTACCAGGTACCCTAGAAACTTACCTGATCCAACCCCAAATGTGCACTTCGATGCGTTGAGTCGGAGCCGGTATGTTTTGAGTATATCAAAGATCTCTTTTAGGTCGGCAAGATGACCCTTAGGTTCCTTGGTCTTCACGACCATGTCATCGATGTAGACCTCTACTGTTCGGCCAATCAGGTGCTTGAACATTTTGGTTACCAACCTTTGGTAAGTTGCTCCTACGTTTTTCATCCCGAAAGGCATTACCCTGTAACAGTACAGGCCTTTGGGGGTGATAAATGCGGTTTTTTCTTCGTCTGGGGGGTACATGGCGATCTGGTGGTACCCCCTGTAAGCATCCAGGAAGCTCATCCTTCCATGTCCAGATGTGGCGT